GCTACTAAGATGAAGACAGAAGGTACAAGTAGTAAAGTACCAGCCTAAAAAGGTGTAAGGCTTTGAGTTCAAATCCCAGATGACAAAAAAATCAATGTAATCTGAACTCAGAATTAAGGAAGCTCTGACTTCCAAGAGAAGGGCACAGGAGAAACAAGTTGGAGAACTGTGAGGAGACGTGAGGCAGGATTCTATGCTCTGAAAGCAGATGGGATAAGCAGGACTGTATACACTAGGGAAATCTGGTCCCAGAGGCATAAGTCTAAAGTATGGCGAGAGGCCTATAATCCTAGCAACTCAGGAGGTTGAGATGTGAAGACTGCAGTTCAAAACCAGCTTAGGCAGGAAAGTCTATGAGACATAACAAAAAAAAAAAAAAGCAAGCAAGCAAACAAGCAAGCTGTGGCTCAAATGGTAGAGTACTAGCCTTAAGCAAAATAAAAGTTCAGGAAGAGTCCAGGCCCCAAGTTAAGCCCTAGGACCAGCACAAATAAATTAATTAAAATAAACAGGGCTGGGAATACGGCTTATTGTTTACCTAGCATGCATGAAGCCCTGGATTTGATTCCTCAGTACCACATAAACAAAAATTAAAAAGTTCAAAGTAGAGCAGGGAAGATGGCTCAGTGGGAGAGTGCTTGCCTTGCATACTTGAGGCCCTGGGTTCAATTCCTCAGCACCACATAAGCAGGAAAAGGCGGAAGTGGTGCTATGGCTCAAGTGGTAGAGCGCTAGCCTTGAGCTGAAGAGCTGAGGGACAGCGACCAGGCCCAGAGTTCAGGCCCTACAACTGACCATATTAATTAATTAATTAACATAAAATACAGTACCAAATCCTAGGAGTAACTTGTGCACAGGAGAGTTCTTTTAGGGACTCAAAGTCATTTACAAACCTAAGCTGGACTATAGGGCAAGACTTCTCTTGATTCCTGGAAGACATGATATGTGTCATGATGATACCAGGCCCTCAGAACTTAAAGCCTCAAACAACAACTAAAATTATTAAAGGGAAAAAAGAAAAAAAAACAACTTTGGGTGGCAGGAGAATAATACACTAAATAAGAAGTTATATAGGCCAGTGCCAGAGTTGAGCTACAACCTGATATTTTGATGAGTAAGGCCAGTAAGTCAAACAAAATGTGGTTCCTAGTCTACACTAAAGACTGAGAGAGGGGCTGGGAAGGTGGCTCAGTGGTAGAGTGCTTGCCTTGCATGCATGAGGCCCTGGGTTCGATTCCTCAGCACCACATATGCAGAAAAAAAAAAAAGCTGGAAGTGGCGCTGTGGCTCAAATGGTAGGGTGCTAGCCTTGAGCTGAAGAGCTGAGGGACAGCGCCCAGGCCCAGAGTTCAGGCCCACCACCGGACCCAAAAAAAAAAAAAAAAAGACTGAGAGAGGAGCTGGGAAGGTAGCTCAGTGATAGAGCACTTGCCTTGCAAGCCTGAGGCCCTGGGTTCAATTCCTCAGCACCACATAAGCAAAAAGAAAAAAGCCAGAAGTGGTGCTGTGGCTCAAGTGGTAGAGCACTAGCCTTGAGCTGAAGAGCTGAGGGACAGCACCCAGACCCAGAGTTCAGGCCCCACGACCAGATTCCCCCCCCCCAAAAAAAAGACTGAGAGAGCCAGAGAAGGTGTGACACTGTCTAAGAGAAAAAAAGTACTTTATCTGACTTATGTAACTGTACCCCCACTGTGTACCACCTTTGTAATAACATTTAAAAAAAAACCATTCTGGTAGTATACACATTTAAGCAAATGAACAGAGCCCCAGAATTTGCCTAACAGAACTGGACCAGTTATACTATTATCTTGTCTTAGGGCTTGAATTCAGGGCCTGGGCTTTGTCCTTTAGCTTCTTTTGCTCAAGACTAGTACTCTACATCTTGAGCCACAGCAACACTTCGGGCTTTTCTGTTTATGTGGTACTGAGGAATTGAACCCAGGGCTTCATGCATGCTAGGCAAGCACTCTACCACTGAGCCACATTCCCAGCCTTATACTATGATCTTGGATCATCTCTCCCTGACAGCATGATAGTAAAAGCTACTGAGGATAATCAGATAAAGCAGTTTTCTGTGTTAAACTGCTCTAGCCAGCACAAGCAGGGCCTTGGTGACTGTAGCTGGCAAGTAGCCAAGGGGTCTGCTCACCAGGCCAGGCGACAGGACATAGCCCTTATGAAAGAAGCCTGCCAGTGCCCTCTACTGGCTACTGTTTTGAAGCCTGTGGCTTCTTGAACAGTCATAGAACCAACTACTTAAAGGTATACTTTAAAAGGTCACAAAGGGCTAGGTACCAGTGACTCATACCTGTAATCCTAGCTACCCAGGAGGCTGAAATCTGAGGATTGTGGTCAAAGACAAGCCCTGGCAGGAAAGTCCATGAGACTCTCATCTCCAATTAACCACTAAAAAGCCAGAAGTGGAGCTGTGGCTCAAGGGGTAGAGTACTACCCTTAAGCAAAAGAAGCTCAGGGACAGTGCCCAGGCCCTGAGTTCAAGCCCCAAAACCAATACAGACATATAGGTCACAAAGGACTTCATGAATCCTCAGCTTTGGAATCACATATAAAAAAAGGAACTTAAAATTAATCCTTGAGGGCGGGGTGTTTGGTGGTTCACTCTTGTAATCCTAGCTACTCAGGAGGTTGAGATCTGGAGATCATAGTTCAAAACTAGCCCAGGCAGGAAAGTCCCTGTAACTCTCCAATTAACCACCAAAAAAGCCAGAAGTGGAGCTATAGCTCAAAGTGGTAGAACACTATAGTGCCTTCAGCAAAAGAAGCTCAGACAGCACCAAGGCCCTGAATTCGAACCACAGGCATCAAGTTAACCATCATCAATCATCATCATCCTTGAACACCACAGTCTGCTTTAAATTTATGTAGATTACAACCAATTATGAATCAGCTTGCAAGGCATTTCTATTTGTGGGTTTCTTGGATGGTAGCCATGTCCCTATTTGTAGTAGAAAAGATGTAGAAATTAGGAAGTAAAACACCAGTCTAGACAATTCAATGAGAAGAAACTTAAACATCAATTACTGCAACTTCTGATGCAGACAAGATGAAGCAAGTCCACTAAAGTTTATCTCCACAACAAAAATCTCAAAAAATTACAAAAGTAATAATCAAAGGATTCTGAAAAGCAAAAACAGGTAGATTGGAGGAAGTGTTCCCAGCCAGAGAGATATGAATTCTTGCTGCTGTTTCCCTTGCTGAGAAAGGGGGAGCCCTTAGAATCTGGAATCCAAGTGAAGCTCACAATGCAAGGCCTGCTCACAGATGAAACAACAGTAGCAGGTGAGGTCAGCAAGGGAACCCACTCTGCCCTGCATCCAGTACAGTAAATACCCTGTGAGTGAGCCTGTTAAACCAACACTCCAGTCTCATACTAAAAAAAAAAAAAAAGACCTAACGTGCAGGGCAAAGGTTCTAAAGTCTAAATTAACAGTGAAATGCTTCCTATGGAAAGGAGGACCTGAGTTCTGAACATATCTAGGCTGATCATATGATTATATTCTACATGAAAAAAAAAACCCAAAACCAACTCAATGTTGCCCAGACTTTCACCACAACACAAGTATTTAAACTATTTGAGTATAATACTCAAAATGCTCAGGATACAATTTAAAGCTACTTCAATCTGGAAAACACAACTCAATTCTCAAGGGAAAAGGAAAATCACATCCAGATCTTGGAATTATCAAAGGTATTATTAGCCTATAATAACAGTATGGGGTAAAAGTAAACATTCTTGAAATGAACAGAACAATAGCAGTTCTAGGAAAGAGACAAAGTTATGAACATATTTAAACTTTAGAACTGAAAAGTACATGTGGGCTTAATAGAAAACCAAGGTGAAAAAACAATGTGACCCAACAAAGACAGAGATTACCTCAATGGTGAGGGTGAGTGAGGGTGAATGTAGTCTTAAGTACTACATATGCATGTGTGAAAATAGGACAAACCTGTTCAGATTGTTTTAATGAAGAGCAGAGGATGAGGGAAAAAAATAAATGGGGCAAGTTTCATCAGAGTATATTGTATGTATGTTTGGAAATATCAAAATGAAATCCACTTGTATAACTAATATATGCTAATTTTTATAAACATATTTTTATTGTGAAAATACTGTACAGAGGGGTTACAATTACATGGGCAAGGTAATGAGCACATTTCTTATCAAGCATTGTTGCTTGCTCCTTTGTTTCCCCTTCCCATCCTCCCCCCCACCCCCGCCCTCTTCCCCCCACCAAAGTTGTAAAGTTTGTTTTTCGACATAACGACTTGTACATCTCATTGTTGCAATGGGTCCTCCTGTATACCTGTTTTAACGATTTGTTTTTTCCCTTCCCCTCCACATATACCAACATCAATATATGCTAATTTTAAAAAAGAAAGAAAAATTATCCCAAAGTCTATAATCCTAGCTACTAAAAAGTTGAGATCTGGAGGATTATAAAGTACTTTAACTTATGAACACTACTCTTTATCCAAATTAGCCTAATGCTGGGAGGGGGTGAAGGGTCATATGAACTGGGACCTAGAGATAAAATCATTAAGTTCTGCTCCTGGCTCTGGATGGGACTATATGTCTAACTTGTAGCTGTCAAAATATCATGATTCTAGGTTCTAGGGCTAGAAGGTAGCTCTGTGGTAGAGTGCTTGCCTTACATTCATGAGGCACCGGATTCCATTCTTCAGCACCACATAAAAAAAAAGCCAGAAGTGGTGCTATGGCTCAAGTGGTAGAGGACTAGCCTTGAGGTGAAGAGCTGAGGGACAGTACCCAGGCCCAGAGTTCAGGCCCCACAACTGACAAAAAAAAAAAAAAAATCATGATCCTATCTTTAAAACAGCATTTACTGTATGCTAGTTAAAAACCCAAAGCTCAAAAAAAAAAAAAAAAAAACCTAAAGTTCAACTAAATATAAATATAGTGGCTAAGGATGGCTTTTCATTATGTGTTAATCTTCCCATTTATGATAATATTTACTTACTTGGTCAATTTGTGGCTTTTCATGGCTGTGAGAAATTCTCTGACAATCTCAGGACTCTGGTGTCTGCATGGTGTTTTTGATATGTATTTTAATGTCTACAAAAAAATGAAAAAAAGCATAAGATGAAGAAATCTAAATAAAAATGGAAAACAGTGGTTACAATTTAGTTTTAGGAAATTTCAAGTATCTTCCAAGCCACTGGCACATGCCTATATTCCTAGCTACTTAGGAGGCTGAGACCTGGAGGACTGTTGTGTTTAAAGCCAGCATTGCCAGAAAATTCCACAAGACTCATTGGTTTCCTATTAACCAACAAAAACCCAACCTGAAGAGATAATGCAAGAGTTAATGCCAGCTGTGGCTCAAGTGGTAGAGTGCTAGCCTTGAGCTGAAGAGCTGAGGACAGTGGCCAGGCCCAGAGTTCTGGCCCCACAACCAGGCCCAAAAACAAAGAGTTAATGTCAGCTATGAGCAAAAAAGCTGAATCAGAGCTTAAGGTCATAAATTCAAGCTCTGATACCAACACTAAAGAGGAAAGTGGGGAGAAGCCAGATACAAATAGTTCATCCCTATAATCCTACTCAGGAAGCTGAGATCTAAAGATCACAGTACAGAGGAAGACCCAGCAAGTCAGAAGCAGAAGCGTAACTCTAGTGGTAGAGCAGTGTGAACAAAAAATAAAAAGCAAACAAACAAAAAGCCAAATGAGAGCTCCAGGCCCTGAGTTCAAGCCCTAGCAAAAAGGAATTAAATTAAGTTTCCTTTGCTTGGCACCAATGGCTCACACCTGTAATCCTAGGTACTTGGGAGGCTAAGATCTGAGGACCGTGGTTCAAAGAGAGCCCAGGCAAGAAAATCTATGAGACTCTTACCTCCAATTAACCACTACAAAACTGAAAGTGGAATTGTGGCTCAAAGTGGTACAGCAAAAAAGCTCAGGGAATTACCTAGGCCCTGAATTCAAGGCCCAGGACTGGCACCAAAAAAACAAAAACAAAAACAAAAAAAAACTGGGCTGGGAAGGTATCTCAGTGGTACAGTGCTTGCCTTGCATGCATGAAGCCCTGGGTTCAATTCCTCAGCACCACATAAGCAGAAAAGGCCTGAAGTGGTGCTATGGCTCAAGAGGTAGAGCGCTAGCCTTGAACTGAAGAGCTGAGAAACAGAGCCCAGGCCCAGAGTTCAGGCCCCATGACCGACAAAAAAAAAAAAAAAGAACTTGGCTTTGCCCTAGGCTTCTAGGGATGATCTCTGGGCCCTTGGAATGCTTTCTCTAATCAGGCATATAGTTGCTTGGGCCCCCATTACACTAGACAGGTTTACTATCTGACATACATTCGAGGCTGGTCTTATCTGTAGTTTTAGAGCAGGAGGTCTAAACACAGAGGCCCAGCTGAGCTTCCCTGATTGACAACTCTGTGGATGGACACACACTTACGTCCTGACTGGGAGGGAGGAGAATGATCCTGCAATGTTCCCTGGACTATTTCTACTTCTCTTGGCCATTTCCCTGTAAAAAACTATAGCTGTCAACATAACAGGTTTGGTAAGTTCTGTGGTCCTTCGTGGGAATTACAAAAGCTGATCATGGTTCTAAGTAGGAATTCCTAAACCTGATGTGTTCACAGTGAGGGAAGTTTTATAAGTTACTCCTAGCTTTGAAGCTTACTGATCCTGGTAGCTGGCCAAACACCTTTCTTTCTTTTTTTAAAAAAAATATTTATTTTATTGGTACTAGGATTTGAACCCTGGACCTCATGCTTACTCAGCTGGTACTCTACCACTTGAGCTATACCGATAGCCCCACCTTTCATTTTTATATTTTTTTTCGGTAGTGGGGCCTGAACTCTGGGCCTGGGCGCTGTCCCTCAGCTCTTCAGCTCAAGGCTAGCATTCTACCACTTGAGCCACAGCGCCACCTCCGGCTTTTTTCTTTTTTGCTTATGTGGTGCTGAGGAATCGAACCCAGGGCCTCAGGCATGCAAAGCAAGCACTCTACCACTGAGCCATCTTCCCAGCCCCACCTTTCATTTTTATAAACAGAATAAAACCTGGATCTAGGTAAAACTACTTCAATCAGGTGAGAGGTAGCTAGTTATCAGCAGAACAAACCAATGTCCCTTAGGATAGGGAAGGCCTCCAGCAGCCCAGGCTTACTTCATAGGTGATGGTATTCAAGTTCTGTTGCCCAGAACTGTGCTTATTCTTTCCACTCTCTTTACGCTGCTCTTTCAGATCCGTTAGTAACTGGAACACCTGAGAAGAGATATACAAGACTTCTGTGAGTAAGTTTGAGAAATGTATTCCAAGATCTATGATTTCGAAGAAAAATCAGAAAATACCTCCTTTCTTCTAACACACCCACCTCCCAACTTTTGGTTTAGAGCAAATAAGAGCTTTTAAATAAGTCAAATATCCCAAATTCACAAGTTTCCTTAAAATACTTAAAATGTGGGCAGGAATGTGGCTTAGTGGTAGATTGCTTGCCTAGCATGCATGAAAGCCCTGGGGTTCAATTCCTCACTACCACATAAACACAAAAAGCCAAAAGTGGTGCTATGACTCAAGTAGTAGAGTGCTAACCTTGAACAAAAGAAGCTCAGGGACAGTTTCCAGGTCCTGAGTTCAAGCCCTAAGACTAGCAAAAATAAATAAATAAATGTTTCATATCAATACAAAATTACTAATCTTCTCTGATCTCAAAGGCACATTGAGTATATGAAAGTTAATTTTCCTCAAACATAAAGGAGTTCTAGCCAGGTGCTAGTGACTAATGCCTATAATCCTAGCTACCACTCAGAGGCTGAGATCTGAGGATAGCAGTTGGAAGCCAGGCCAGGCAGGAAAGTCTGTGAGAGTCTTTTTTTTTTTTTTTTTTTGGTCATGGGGCCTGAACTCTAGACCTGGATGCTGTCCCTGAGCTCTTTAGCTCAAGGCTAGCGCTCTACCACTTGAGCCACAGTACCACTGGGGCTTTTTCTGCTTATGTGGTGCTGAGGAATCGAACCCAGGGCCTCATGAATGCAAGGCAAACACTACCACTGAGCCACCTTCCCAGCCTCTGTTGAGAGTCTTATCTCCAATTAATCACCAGAAAGCCAGAAGTAGTGCTGTGGCTCAAAACAGTAGAGCACTAGCCTAAAGTAAAAAATGCCCAGGGACAGTGCCCAAACCCTGAGTTAAAGTGCCAGGACTGACAAAAAATAAAAATTTAAAATTAGCTGGGCTCCAGTGGCTCATGTCTGTAATCCTGGCTAATCAGGAGGCTGAGATCTGAGGATCGTGGTTCAAAGCCAGCCCGGGCAGGAAAGTCCCTGAGATTCTTATCTCCAATAAAAAAACCCACTAGAAAATCAGAAGTGGTGCTGTGGCTCAAGCGGTAGAGCACTCGCCTTGAACTGAAGAACACAGGGATAGCACCCAAGCCCAGAGCTCAAGCCCCACGACCAACCCAAAGAAAAAAAAAAATTAAAATTAAAAATAACCTAAGGGCTGGGACGGTGGCTCAGTGGTAGAGCGCTTGCCTTGCATGCATGAGGCCCTGGGTTCCATTCCACAGCATCACATAAGCAGGGGAAAAAAAGCCGGAAGTGGCACTGTGGCTCAAGTGGTAGAGCACTAACCTTGAGGTGAAGAGCTGAGGGACAGCACCCAGGCCCAGAGTTCAGGCCCACGACTGGACCCCAAAATAAATAAATAAATAAATAAATAAAACTTAAATCGCCGGGCTCCAGTGGCTCACACCTCTAATCCTAGCTACTCAGGAGGCTGAGATCTAAGGATCACGGTTCAAAGCCAGCCTGGACAGAAAAGTCCGTGAGACTCTCATCTCCAATAAACCACTAGAAAACCATAAGTGGCACTGTGGCTCAAGTGGGAGAGCATTCGCCTTGAGCTGGAGAGTGCAGGGACAATGCCCAAGCCCAGAGTTCAAGCCCCATGACCGACAAAAAAAAACAAAACAAAACAAACCTTAAAACAGTGCTGGAGCCAGGTAACAGTGGCTCACATCTGTAATCCTAGCTACTCAGGAGGCTGAGATCTAAGGATCGTGGTTCAAAGCCAGCCTGGGCAGAAAAGTCCATGAAACTCTCATCTCCAATTTACCAGCAAAATGAACTGGAGCTGTGGCTCAAGTGGTAGAGTGCTAGCCTTAATTGAAGAAGCTAAGGGACAGCGCCCAGGCCCTGAGTTCAAGCCCTAGCCCTGACACACACAAAAGTCAATCAGAAATTTAAGAAAATATGGTCTTACAGATTTCTACTAGATACAACATAGTTCCTCCTCTTTTGATGAGACTCAGTGAAGGCAAATTTTACTCAAAGAACAAACACCCAAACACCCAGCAGAATCCAGGCTGCATAAACAGACTCCTAAAAGCCAGTGGCTTGGCCAACAACCACTTTCTTTTCTGTTATAAGGAGCAACTACTTGGGATGAGCCTTTAAGACAGAGGGGGCCTGGGAATGTGGCCTAGTGGTAGAGTGCTTGCCCCTAGCATGCATAAAGCCCTGGGTTCAATTCCTCAGGTCCACATAAACAGAAAAAGCCGGAAGTGGCCCTGTGGCTCAAATGGTAGAGTGCAGCCTTGAGCAAATGAAGCTCAGGGACAGTGCCCAGGCCCTGAGTTCAAACCCTAGCACTGACAAAAAAGAAAGAAAAAAAAAAAAAGAATCTGGGCTGGGCGCTGGTGGCTTACACCTGTAATCCTACTATTCAGAAGGGTGAGATCTGAGAACTGCGGTTCAAAGCCAGCAGGGGCAAGAAAGTCCATGAGACTCTTATCTCCAATTAACCACCAGAAAAACTGAAAGTGGTGCTGTGGCTCAAGTAGTAGAGCACTTGCCTTGACCTGAAGAGCTCAGGGACAGTGCCCAGGCCCACATTTCAAGCCCCACAACAAAACAAACAAACAAAAAAAAAGTAATTGGGAAGGTAGCTCAGTGGTAGAGCGCTTGCCTTGCATGCATGAGGCCCTGGGTTTGATTCCTCAGCACCACATAAGCAGAAAAGGCCAGAAGTAGCACTGTGGTTCAAGTGGTAGAGCGCTAACCTTGAGCTGAAGAGCTGAGGGACAGCACCCAGACCCAGAGTTCAAGCCCCACGACTGACAAAAAAAAATTAAAAAAAAAAAAAAAAAGAATCTGGGCTGGGCGCTGGTGGCTTACACCTGTAATCCTACTATTCAGAAGGGTGAGATCTGAGAACTGCGGTTCAAAGCCAGCAGGGGCAAGAAAGTCCATGAGACTCTTATCTCCAATTAACCACCAGAAAAACTGAAAGTGGTGCTGTGGCTCAAGTAGTAGAGCACTTGCCTTGACCTGAAGAGCTCAGGGACAGTGCCCAGGCCCTGAGTTCAAACCCTAGCACTGACAAAAAAGAAAGAAAAAAAAAAAAAGAATCTGGCCATCTGTTTATTCAATACACACAATTCACACAATGGAGATCCAGACTTCCTCTCTATCTTTCTGAGTTTATACTTAAGACATGGGGAATACTGACAGTGAATATATGAGAGGTTGTAAAATGGTTTAGTAAAACCAAAGTGGACCCAGGCAAAATGAGATGATCCAAGCTCTGGCTTGGCCATTCTTTCTTCTTGCTCATGACTGGGGCTCTACCACTTGAACCTGCAGTCCAGCAGTTTTTTGCTGGTTAACTGGAGTCAAGAATCTGGCAGAGGGGCTGGGAAGGTGGCTCAGTGGTAGAGTGCTTGCCTTGCATGCATGAGGACCTGGGTTCGATTCCTCAGTACCACATAAGCAGAAAAAACCAGAAGTGGCGCTGTGGCTCAAGTGGTAGAGCGCTATCCTTGAGCTGAAGAGCTGAGGGACAGTACCCAGGCCCAGAGTTCAGGCCCCACGACTGGCAAAAAAAAGAATCTGGCAGAGGGGTTGGGAAGGTGGCTCAGTGGTAGAGTGCTTGCTTGCATTCATGAGGACCTGGGTTCAATTCCTCAACACCACATAAGCAGAAAAAGCCAGTAGTAGCGCTATGGCTCATGTGGTAGAGTGCTAGCCTTGAGCTGAAAGCTGAGGAACAGTTCCCAGGCCCAGAGTTCAGGCCCCACGACCAACCCAAAAAAACAAAAAGAGTCTTGCAGAATTTTCTGTCAGGACTGGCTTTCATCCATGATCTTAGATCTCTTCTTCCTGAGTAATCAGGCTTATAGGCATGAGCCTTAAGCACCTCGCCTAAACTCTCTTTCAAACTGAAGATATATTAACCTTTGAGACTATTTCAAAATTAAAATGATAACATATTTAAAAAAATTTTATAAAGGATGGTAATTAGGAAAAGGCCCTAAATACTTTAGCTGGCAACATTTTTTTTTTTTGGGGTCCGGTCATAGGGCCTGAACTCTGGGCCTGGGCGCTGTCCCTCAGTTCTTCAGCTCAAGGCTAGCGCTCTACCACTTGAGCCACAGTGCCACTTTTGGCTTTTTTCTGTTTGCTTATGTGGTGCTGAGGAATAGAACCATGGCCTCATGCATGCAAGGCAAGCACTCTACCACTGAGCCACCTTCCTAGCCCCATGGCAAGATATTTTTGCACACAAAAATGGCTCTAATTACTTCATTACATGATACTCCATTACATGAAGGCATCGCAAATGACGCTCCAGAACCTTTGGGATTTAGGGAAGGATACCTTCTGAAAACGAAAGTCTTCCAGCTTCCTAAAGTATCATAATTTACTTGGAATATCATTCTAAGTTCCTTCAGATAACAAAATTTGTCCAAATTGAGTTTAGTAATTTCTAACCAAAATAATTCTATAATCATCACAAAAGACAAACTGAGAGGAAAATACAACAGTACACTTCAAAGCTATTTACCTCATAGTTACAGAGCAGCGCAGAATTTGCATCTTTCCTGCAAAAGAAAAGCAAGTGAATATCAGTCTTGGCTCACATCCTTTTTTGAGTATTAAATGTCTATAAAATAATTCCTTTACCAAGATCAAGTAGTCTAGTTCAGGAGTGTGGGAATACAACCTAATACTGAGAAATGGCCTAAGGTCTTCGTGGAGTTAGCTAGCTGTGGACAACTTCAGGGCAAACTTTATTTTTTATGAGCATAACACACATCTATCACCAGGTAGGTGACATTCATTTCAATCTATGTAGGCTAAAGTAAGAGATATCAGATGCCTGGCAGGAGTTGGTTACGGGAGGAGGGGGAAGGACAAAACCCAAAGAGGAGAAAGGGACTCAAAAAGAAGTTTGGGTGTTTCTCCATCTTGAGCCTATGTTTCTCCCTAATATTACCACCTATCTCCAATCAGCCACCAACATCTTGGGCAGCCAAGTCCTCCTGCATAATCAGCAGAAATGGTCTATGTTATAGTAACATTACCACTGGGAAATTCAATGATCAAGGATTCTGTTAACCCCAGGACCCCTCCCCGGCCCCATACACAAAGAACCCTGTTAAAAAGCAACAAAAGCTGGGCACAAGGGGTTCATGCCTGTAATCCTAGCTACTCAGGAACCTGAAATCTGAGGATTGTGGTTCAAAGACAGGCTGGGCAGGAAAGCCAGTGAGGGGAGAGGGGGGAGGTCCGGTCGTGGGCCTGAACTCTGGGCCTGTGTGCTGTCCCTCAGCTCTTCACCTCAAGGCTAGCACTCTACCACTTGAGCCACAACGCTACTTCCGGCTTTTTTTTTCTGCTTATGTGGTGCTGAGGAATAGAATCCAGGGCCTCATACATGCAAGGCAAGCACTCTACCACTGAGCCACCTTCCCAGCACAGCCTGTGAGATTCTACCTCCAATAAACCACTCTGAAAACTGAAGTGGCACTGTGGCTCAAGTGGTAGAGTGCTCACCTTGAGCTGAAGAACTTAGGGATAGCGCCCAGGCCGAGTTCAAGCCTCACAAATGACCAAAAAATAAATAAATAAAAATTAATAAAAAGCTACAAAACCTCAAAGGTGTTCATCTTCTTTTGCTTTTTTGTTAGTCATGGGGCTTGAACTCAGGGTCTGGGTACTGTCTCTAAGCTTCTGCACTCAAGGCTTGCACTCTACCAGTTTGAGCCTAGGCCACTTCTGGTTTTCTGGTGGTTAAAGATAAGAATCTCATGGGTGAGGGCTGGGAAGGTGGCTCAGTGGTAGAGCGCTTGCCTTGCATGCCTGAGGCCCTGGGTTCGATTCCCCAGCACCACATAAGCAAAAAGAAAAAAGCC